TTTCGAGATTATTCAATACGACAGGTTATCATTAATTCAATACGGCATCATGTGGAGAAATCAAACCAAGGAGTACTCGCATTATCTGGTTAAGTTTGACGACGGTGGCTTACTGATTGTTCCCAGAAGTAGGATATTAGAAGAGGGTAGGATTGCGGAGAATGGGAAGTACAAGGTGCAATATAACAAACCCGAAGATGTGTCTGACGCTGTTATTATAAAGACTGGAGACTACTTGACATTGTCAAGGCTAAAGAGGGAGATGGGACAAAAGAAGAAAGATGAGCATCAAAAGAACCCCAGTACAATCCCGACACCAAAGCGTACCTTAACGACGAGTCGCTTACCCCAACCGAAAAGAAAGGTAAATAGTTTTCACAAAAACAACATAACAAAAATATACAACAATTTAATAATTTTATTGCAATCGTTTTCTGACTTTAGGGTCGTTTAGGAGTTTTTGATTAAAATGATTACTGTCCTTCCCGAATGAACGTTCGGACCCAAAAAGTCTTTTAGGCATATCAGCCGTGGCTTTCCCACCCACCACCACAACAACCGGAACAACCTTGTACATGTGATCAATAAAGCGATTACATATGTCACGCGTAAGCACGTTGTACCAAAAGTCTTGGCAGTAATTACAGAGTTCTTCTTTTGTGGTGGGGTTCTTTTTCGATACGTAGCGCTTCAGCATATTCCACACCATTTCGATTGGATTTAAGTCTGGGCTTTCGGGGGGGGGTGCACCACCAGTTAATGTTATTGTCCTCCATAAATGTTTTTGCAAGTCGGGATGTGTGCTTTGGATCATTATCCTGTTGGAAGCGATGTCCATCGTGAAATCTCTTATTTATGAATGGTAGTAAAGTTTTTTTTAAAATTTCCTCTGTATAGAAAACACTGTCCATAATACCATCAAATATAAGAAGTTGGCTTTTTCCTTTACGACTAATACCCCCCCACAAGTGAACTTTGTATGGGTGTTTTGGGCGACACTGTTGTGGTGCTCTCTGATCTTTTTGTCTATATGCAACTGTTTTGTTATCGTGTAGTTGTATTGAGCATTCGTCTGTAAATATCACATTATCAAACTGGTCATTGGTCTCTAATAAATGTCTACAGAATTCAACCCTTTTTTCTTTATTCTGGTCTCTGATTAGTTGACAATATCGTGGTTTCGTTGATGTATAACCGGCAAAATCAATGGCGCGTCTGACTGTACTAATCGAGGTGTCTGTGCCGTGTGCTGAAAGTGTTTTCTGGATATCCCTGGCAGACTGTGCTGGGTTCTGTTGAAATTCGTTATCAATAAATACTATGTCATCGGAACACAAGTTGTTAAAATGGTGGGTTTTTTCAGTCAATACGCACTTGTTGTCAAATCGTCCTTCAATATATGCGGTTACCGTATATTTTACACCGGACAAAGACACATTCACATTAGATTGGTTAAGGTATCTATGTATAGCAGAACACTTCCAGTCTTTCTTGTGGAGTTCAACAATTTTTAATTTATCCAAGTGTGGTATACGAGTAGCAGGCATTTTTATGAATTGAGCTACTGGTTTCTTGGGTTTTATGGAGGAATCGACTACGACAATACACATGAACAGATATGCAAAAAATATACATGCGCACACGTGTCATCATATTTATATATTCAAATGGTTTCAGTCTAATTAACAAGTGACATGTCAATGTGCCGTGTCTATTCCATGGTGTGACAAATTAAGAAATGGCTGAGGTCAGACACAAAGTTACTGCTAAGTGTTAGAGTTCTTATCAGTAAATTAATTAACCCAAGTCTCTTAATTTCATGTTCAGCTTAGAAAACAAGCGAGTACTTTGGAAAATATTTTAAAATTAAAACTCGCAGCCATTTTCCATAATAGCAATGTAGTACAGATTTATATAGTGCATCTGAGACAAGCAGTTCAAACTTATTTGTCTTTTTTTTCATCTGATGTCATTATTAAATATTAAAAGTCCAATTCTTTAACCCTCAAAATATTGAAGTGTTGTTGAATGAATAAAAATAAATATATTTTATTCTCTTGTCTTTTCAGAAAATGGCATCAGTTATCCGCCGAACGACGCTAGAAAGTTTCAGTTCCAATGACCCACGTGATCTGTCAATTTCTAATGTATCCTCGAGCTCCTATTCAACTAGCTCAACACCAGAATCAGTCTTCCAGGCATCATCAAGAATACCAGTGCCCGTACGTGTAACAGTACCCCGAGATGTCGAATCGCCCTCTACGTCTGAAGAACAGTCCCTCCTGCAAGCCCTGCCAGATTTACAAGATTGTGAAATTACATGTAGGCAGCTTTTTAGGACACCTAATAGGAACAGGCAGAAAACACTCTCAGCAGCAGAAAGGTACATGAAGACAATGAATAAAAAGCAGCATGAACTACAACTAGAAGTCAAGGGACTGCGACAAGAATTAAAGGATATGAATAATCTTGTTTTGTTGATACTACAGAGACTCCCCCCTCATGGCGAGGGACAAGATCAGCAGATACCACCAGTACCTAGTCCCCAGCCCGCCACACAGACGCTGCCAACGCCTGAAACTGACACATCAAAATTTGGTGATATCCCACCGGAATTTCGTATTTCTGCTGAAGATCTGAACGCCATGCACCTCCATGCTTTTAATGCCGGCCATTTCGCAACTAAAATAGTACAAAGACTTTTTCCGGAACTGACCGGACCCGACAACTTACGGCAGAAATATTCGTATTTCGGTGGGGGTAGATGCAATAAGCTAGAACTCGATACACGACGGAAATCATTCGTCGTAAGATATGTTTTACATCATTATCCTCAAGTGCAAGAAAAACATGCCTGGCAAGAGCGCGTGGTCGTAAAGATTAACGAATTTCTAAGACGAAAATGAATTTTATGTGTGTATAGACAAAAAAATTTTTAAATAGAAAAAAACAAACATTTTATGTGTGTGTGTAGACAAAATATTTTTTAAAAAGAAGAAAAAAAAGGTGTTTGCGATGGATTTGAATACATTGTTTACCAAGTGTCAAGACTTTATGTGAGTAAATACATGTACTAACTGCAATAAAAAATGAATTCACTTTTAGTGCATGTATGATTATTAAATTTTGACTGTAAAATATTATGATTTGTATACATTGTGCATATGTATTACATGTACATGTTTAACCTAATTTCGATTTTCAATAAAAATCATGTCAATGGAACCAAAAGAATATATTGTATGATTATTTAATTTTGACTGTAAAATATTATGATTTGTATACGTTGTACATTTGTATTACATGATTAACTTACTTTCGATTTTCAATAAAAATCATGACAATGGAACCAAAAGAATAAAATGCTACCCAAAACATCTCTTTAATTGTCGGTTATGGATTTATTATGCAATATCGATGCAGGTTCAATCACGAAACTTGCGCTTACACCGTCTAGTATAGCTTTTGAGCTGCTGATATGTATATGCAGTAGAAAATCGGGAAGTTGAACGTACGAAGGAATGGAATCATTCAGAAGTGTACTCAAAATAAGTAAATTATAACGGGGTGATGACGAGAATTAACACACGTGTGGCCATTGTATAAATATATGCCATGTACGCGTCTGTGTGAAATGGCTTTATTTAATATCCGCTTCTACCGAAATGAAATGAGGGGCACCCAGTAGATGTATATTGTCACAGTACCCCTTCCCACCCATATTGTTTTAATGCGTCATAATACATTGTTATTATGTACCGGTGACAGTCAAGATTTGCTAAGAATATAGTCCCCGTGTCGAACCCAACATCTCATGTTTTCGCGCGTTTCAGACCACGTGACTAACGGTTAACCACATTGCGGAAGTGATTTATGGCGTTGTGCTTTATGGATTTAGTTTAACTAAAGCTGCGAGTAATGAAGTAGTGTGTAAAATCTCATCGTATATAATTCAAAGTTTGGATTTGGTAGCAGCCAATAAGATGAAATGATACGTTGTAAGTTATTCATTGTTTACATACGCCGTACACGGTGGCACCACGTTATACATGTACAGTGTGTTAGAAATAAAAAAATACGACCGTAGCTGCCTCGCCAACGGTTAACATATCTTGTATTCAACTTAAATAAATTACATTTTCCGTCAACATGCTTACATCGGGATGATATCGGCACTCAAGCGATTCACCGTGTTCCACCGCGAAACACTATAATTCACCGTGAAACACCCTATTTCGCGGTGATTTGGCAAGCTGCCGTTTCGCTAGCGATTCTCCGAGATTCCACCGTGAAATAGAGTGTTTTTCCACGGTGTTCGGTGTTTCTAGTCTCAAACTCCAGACACGTAGTGTAGGTACATATCAATTACTATCATACAGCCGAGGTTAGATGTAGGGTACCGGAATCTTGCGAGATTTGCCGAGTGGCAAAGACGGTGTAAAATTCATTGTTATAAAATTGGCTGCTAGTGCTACTTGACTGCCAACTAGCTGAGTAACCGCACGACAATGGACCGTATACGTTCCATGGTACCACTACGACTGAATGAATGCCGACTTGTGTTTTTGATAGAAAAATGCAGTCACAAGAACTCAGGAAAGAAACAAAACAATAAATTCCTATTTTAGAATATGCCCTGGATTATGAAGGTATACAAGAGCGGTTTTAGTGTCAACATCGGCAAATTCCGTTGTCATATTCTTAAATAAATTACCACGGCTTAAGATCCCGTAGTTCTTATTTGTGTTCTACGGCAATTTCGCTAAATACTATGACGCCGTTGTGAATTTTGACAGCTGGGAGTCACTCATGAAATTGCGCATTTTCGATCGGAAAAAACGGTAATTTTCTGCCGAAGATTACCGCCCGGCATGAAGATTTTTCTGGGCACATCCCTGGACAATGGTTATTAATTTGGATTATAAACAAATTGTGGATGGATGAAAGTCGTAAGCTTATACTTTAGAAATTTGATAGAAGTACAAAACTTATATATTTACCTGTTCTGTACCTTTACTCCAAAATACAGTGGGGGTTGGGTTTCCTGTTACAACACATTGTAATGTAACTGTTCTACCACGTCCTACAACTTGATTCTCTGGTCTCACTTGAAATGAGGGGTGTGCTATAACATATGTACATGTATGTATATCAACACAAATTTCAATGACCCCTTTAGCACCTGGACTGCCTGAAACTACTGCTTCTTCTAATATCTTAAACTGCCCGAATCACAACAACAGCTGTTTACTGTTTAATGACCATATTCTTGTTATGTAACTTAGTCAGTTTGCGGCGGTCTTGTGAGCAGTTGGTTTGAAAATGAGCTAGAAAATTGATCATGTTTTGCTAAATTTTTCAGGGAATTGGAGTAATCAGTATTTACATGTACCAGGTGCCAAAGGGTTATATAAAATACTACTTATAAATTATAATAACTTGATAAATTTAGAGTGTCCTCAATGTTTTTCAAAATGATCATGAGTGACTGTAATTATTAGAAACTAGCAGGATACCCGGCTTCGCTCGGGGGTCATAACTCCGAAACGGGAAGTGGTAGACTAACGCCACCTGGCCTGTTACTCCCCGGTCCGAGCTACCCCTATACCCCAAATTTCAGACTCGGGGCAGACCTAGTGTAGCCGCCAACCCCGAACAGACAGACAACAGTCACAAATATATATATAGATAGATTAAAATCAATAGACATCATGAATATAAATTAACACTATACATGTAAATCAAATGTAAGGTCAGTACTCGAAAAAACATGTACATGTATAGAGTATGACTAGCATTTTGATTAAACACAGATATTACCAAAAACACTGTCATAGTATTGAAAACACAGTATAGGCTCTGTGTTTTAATTAAGATAGGTTGCCAGGCAACGAAACATAAGCCCACAACAGTTAAATCGTCCAAGCGGTCGACAAGGGTTGTTGCACATTTATTTCATATAGATCAGAATATAATTTTTGTCATTTGAGGGTTCACAAGGTTCTACAAACTGAAACAAGGACCTAACTCTTGAAGTAATTTACAGAAAATTTTGAAATTTGATATAAATTTCATACAAATCGGATGATAACTTTTGTCATTCAAACTTAAACAAGATTCACAAAGTAAAGCAAGGGCCATAACTCTAGACGAAATAATTGACGGAAATTGCTGAAATTCAAGACCTCCGCTTCACAAATTTAAATGATGCATATAAATTACATACATATCTGATGATAACTTTCATCAATCGAGCATTAACAAGGTTGAACAAAGAGAAACAAGGGCCTTAACTCGAGAAGTAATTATTGTAAATTGCTGAAATTAAATAGGCTTCATGGTTTCACTAATCTAAATGATGCATATAAATTTCATACAGATCGGCTGATAACTTTTGGTGTTAAGAGTGTTCACAAGGTACAACAAGTGAAACATGGGCCATGACTCTAGACGTACATGTAATAAACGGGAATTTCTGAAATTCAATAGGATTCTTATTTTTAAATGACACATATAAATTTCATACAGATCGGCATCGGCAACTTTAGATGTTAGAGCGTTCACAAGGGCCATAACTCTAGAGAGAGAGAGAGAGAGAGAGAGAGAGATGGGCTTTAAACGTCCACTCGACACAAACTAGGTCATTTTGGGACTAACATATGGTTTAATTTTTATTTCAATAATCCATTTGCGCGTAGGGGTCTTTAGCAGTGGGAGGAAACTGGAGGACCCAGAGAAAACCCACGAGGTTGGACAGGCGACCCTACTCCTTGTCACATACAACTGGGGATTAGAAACCACGCCAGTTGACTCAATGACAGGCCTTGTGGTACAGCGCGCACATGCTAGCCATTCGGCCATCCACACACACACACACACCCTAACCCATAACTCTAGAAGTAATAAACGCAAATTGCTGAATTCAATAGGATTCTTCTTTTTACTAATTTAAATGACACATATCAATTTCATACAGATCGGCAGAAAACTTTTGATGTGCAACAAAGGTGCAACAAAGTGAAACAAGGGCCATAACTCTAGAAGTAATTAATGGAAATTGCTGAAATTCACAGGCTTCTTCGTTTGAATAAGGGCTATAACTCTAGACATAATAAACGGAAATTGCTGAAATTCAATATGTTTCTTCGTTTCACTAATTTATTTAATGCATATAAATTTAACAAAGATCTGATGATAACTTTTCGCGTTAGAGCGTTCACATGGTTAAACAAAGTGAAACAAGGGCCATAACTCTAGAAGTAATACACGGAAATTACTAAAATTCAATAGGCTTCTTCATATCCCTAATTTAAATATTGCATAAAAATTTCAAAGATAGGATGTTAACTTTTGGCATTAGAGCGTTCACACACAAGGTTCAACAAAGTGAAACAAGGGCCATAACTCTAGATGTAATAAACGGAAATTAAACAGGCTTCTTCATCTCACTAGTGTAAACAACATATATCAATTTTAAAACAATTGTATGATAACTTTTGGCGTTAGAGCGTTCACAAGAAATTGTGGACGACGGACGGACTGAGGGACCGACAGACAGACGGGGGCGACAGCAATATAAGTCCACATTTCCATGTGGGCATATAAAAATATGTCTATACAACTGGCTGGTCATTTTAGGTATGGTATATGAAGTGTGTAAAATAAGTAGGGTTGTAATTAATGTTATAGGTCAGTTACTGCTAACAAAACTTATACTTTGTTACACTTTCACATGATAGTTGTTAACTTTTTGGTATATTATATTTAGGCAGACATAATAACAGTGTTCCGTTGGACTGATTATTGTGTGAATTCTGGTTTTAACTTGGAAACAGTTTTCAATTATCAACAAGTTCATACAGTATGTTCTATGTGGCAACTACAATACCTGTCACAATATTACCAGGTGTTCATAATAAGTTGACAACATAAAAAGTTTACTGAATGGTACACAGCATCAAGTTATATAATGTCACTCATGATCAATTTAATAAGATGGCCACTCAAAGCGATGAAATTCACCCACACAGCAGCTTTGTCTCAACTGCAGCTTATCGGAATGGAAAACTTGGATAATGATCTAGGAGGAATGAAAGTCCCTTAATATCGATAGGAGCTTCTCCTATAATACCAGTAGGGGAATATTTATCTAAGAGTATGTTAGGTGAGCTTACTGTTGACAATTAATTTTCCTACAGCTTCTACAGTTCCAGCATCATTTTCAGCAACACAAACATATGTTCCATCATCGCTTGCTTCAACTTTCTCTATTCTTAATGTTCCATCATTTAACTGTCTAGCTCTAAAATTGTAATAAACATACTTGAAAGCTGCAAGGTTTACGATACAATTTTTAATATAAGTAATTACAGACAATATTCAGCAGCCACTCAAGGGAATTGTCATGACTAGCCTAGGAGTGACCTTTTAAAAAAATATGTGTTTTAAGTGCTAATCTAACATTTATGCATTGATGAAAATTAGGCCATCACCGAAACTCGCTATTGGAACAAAAATTCCATGACTCAATCTCTCATATAAATTCACTAAATGGGTCATTTAATACCCACCCTAATACTAGTGCCTAGTTTTGTTGTGCATTCAATAATATTTATACCTTTTTGTAAAGAAAATCCATGAATTATTTTCATCTTAAGCAAATTACTTCAGGGAATGTAACTCTGTCTAAAATTAATGTTTTAGCAATATGGAAGCAATAGAAAATAGATGCTAGATGATTGTGACAAAGTAGTCTATTCAACCAGTATCAAATAGTAAGTGCAGGAAAACATCACAACACACAAAACAAAACCGACAATACAAACCTACAAGAGACATGTTCTTGCTACATGTTAAAATAATGATCAAGGTTTGTCATTTAATAAAACAAAAGATTAATTAACAGATAATCCCTGGTTTATTGTTATTTACATTTTTACTCGATCTGTGGGAGCCCGAAATGATAATTTTTGTAATTCAAGCACAAGGCTCTACAAAGTGAAGCAAGGGCCATAACTAACTAATGGAAATTGTTGAAATTCAATATGATTCTTTACGGGGGGGCGGGGGGAGGGGTTTAAGGTTGACTTGACACAAACTAGGTCATTTCAGGACTAACATGTTTAATTCTTATTTCAATAAATCCCGTTGGGTTCTTTAGCAGTGCCAGTGGGAGGAAACCAAAGGACTAAGAGAAAACCCACAAGGTTGGACAGCGACCCTAAACCTTGTCACGTACAACCGGGAAATCAAAACCACGCCAGTTCTAACTATTTGGCCATCAGGATTTTCCGACATGGTTCCTCCTTGTCAGTGGTTCATAATCGAGGGCCTGGCAAGGGACAACGTATGGTCATTCGGATGGGAAAAAAAACAATGTCCTGTGTACACATTGGCGTGCACATTAAAGATCCCTTGGCAATTGTAATTCCATACATAAAAGTAGGCCGCTGTCCAGCAAAATTTCTCTCATTATCCCAGTCGGAGCAGGAAAAACGACAATATATGTCCACAAAGTTTGACTCTTCACGCCAATGGAACAGTGAAATGTAATATTTTACGAAAATATAATAATTATGCCGAGAAGGGAAAAATAAGATTCGCTAAGATTTCTGTGGGGGATTACATGGACTTGATAAAACCTTAGATATTTTCGGAGTAGCTGACTTGATCTGCTCAGCCAATTCTGTTGAATTGAGAACAGTGAAAATCAACCAGATTGAATTTGAAAACTATAGAAAATAACTTTTATGTTGAAATCATTTTCCACTCCAGAAGCCACTATTGATATTGGCCACCAAGTAGTTGAAATATGTAAAAATATGCCCACATTTTACTAGAGATGGACAGAGAACAAGCTCAAAAACAAGCAGTGATTTTTTGTACAATCAACAGTCATAATCCAGGAAGCTTAGGTCCAATATGCGTGAATATCTACAGGAACCGAGATCTTTGATATATAAAAATATATTTTAAAGTTTCAAAATCTGATAAAAATTTGACCTCTAGAGGGTCCACAACCTTAATATTACATACTTTATTAACGCTTTTTGCTTAAAGTCCGATCCTTATATTAAAGTAGCTAAGTCTCTAACTCAATATCATCCAAAATCTTCAACATTGAAAACACAATTTATTTGTCAAATTAAATCAACATTCATGTTGTGATCTTACCGGGAAAAGATGGGCTTCTGATATCCAATATTTAAGACAAAATAAACATTTTACCATTGGTACACGAATCGTGTACCATAATGCGCTTCAGCCCCAGTTGTATCTAGAGCGTCCACAAGTTTTTTCAAAGTGATCAAGAGCCATAATTCTGGCAGTAATTATCGAAAATTCATGAAAATGAATAGACTTCTTCGTCTCATGACCTTAAACACTGTGTATAAATTTCAACTCAATCGGATATTAACTTTAGCCTACAGAGCGTCCACAAGCAATTGTGGACGCCGAACCGACGGACGGACAAACATTTCATGTGGGCGTATAAAAAGGTTGTAACAGTGTAGCAAACATGTGGCTAAAAACTTCATTCCTGTCTGGTGGCAACATGGTTGAAGGTGGTGGGGACATGGCTGTAAATTAAATACTTGCTAAGAAGCCCTGATGACATAGATTATGTTATCAACTGACTTCCAAGCTGAATGTGGAACTAGCATGTGGAATGCTGTTGCGTTGGAAACATAAAGTATGTCACCACTTACACAACGCGTGGCCGGCTACTTTTACATCACTGCCACCAGTTCTTTCAATGGTGATGGCAGTGATGTCATAGATGACAAGTCACGTCGTTGTTTAATTGGTGATATCGTTTGTTTGCAACAGCATTCCTTTTGACAACTCCTTCCACACACAGCTTTGGGTCAGTTGATAAAATAATCTATGCCACAAAGTTTTTTTATAGCAAGTGTTACTATTTCATTTGCAGTTCTTGTTTTTAATTCTTTGTATACCGCTTTATATTTAATATCATACATTTCTGTTCTACTTTTTAATTCATTAATTACTTTTTCAAAAGTTGTAAGTCTCACATTTTTAACAATCATTAACTTTGTATCTATAACTGACAGACAACATAAGTCTTAAAATCAGACTGATCGACCAAGTAAATGTGCTTTTTTCCTGGAAAATCGATATAATACACCCACAAGAAAATATGGAGGTATAATAAAGATAGGTTGCCAGGCAACAAAACATACGCCCACAGCAGCTAAATCGTCAGGGCAGTCAACAAGAGTTGTCGCATATTTTTACTTTTGTCGGTAATGAAACATTTCTAATACACTAAAATCTGATTAAGAGTTACAACTCATTAAGTAATTATCAGAAAATCATTAGAATTTGTTTGGCCCATGCTAACATTTAGTATACAAAACATCTCCATGTAATATCATAGATTTAGCTTTGAAAATCAATAAGGTCTCAAGATCTAAAACTCTGTGTATCAATCTAAAGTCAATCGAACAATTATATATAGGCGTAAACACAGTGTATAAATATAAAATCAATCGGCTATTAAGCATCCACAAGAATTTTCAAAGTCATCGAGGGCCATAACTCTGGCAGTAATTATTGAAAATCATTGAAATCAATAGGCTTCTTCGTCTGATGATCTTAAACACTGTGTATAAATTTAAAGTCAATCGGATATTAACTTTAGCCTCTAGAGCATCCACAAGCAATTCTGGACGCTGGATCGATGGACGGACGGAGGCGACCACAATATACGGCCACATTTTAATGTGGGCGTATAAAAATTTGTGAATATCTTATGTGTAGTCCCTGTGAAGATATATACTAATCAAACAGAGAAGTATTTTAGAGTGTCTGACACTAAAATGATAATATATCCAGAGAGAGAGAGAGAGATGGGGTTTAACCTCCACTCCTCGACACAAACTAGGTCATTTCGGGACTAACATACAGTGTATGGTTTAATTTTTTAATTCTATTTCAATAATTCGATTGCGCATAGGGGTCTATAGCAGTGGGAGGAAACCGATAATATATCTAATAATTGTAATAAAATTTGTGTGAAATTGGTGTAAAATTTGTGTGAAATTGGTGTAAAATTTGTGTGAAATTGGTGTAAAATTTGTGTAAAGTGTAGCGAATACTGGCTTCAATTTCATATGCTAGGTACCACTTTTATACGGTCATCGATTTTTTGTGTGCTCTTTAAGTTTCATCAAAATCGTATATAAATTGTGACCTGAAGACTACGAGTGTCCACAAATAAATGTGAAAGCATGAAAATAAAGATTACCTTCCATATGGTATTCTACCATCCTCCTTTCTCCATTCTAGTGTTGGTTTTGGATCTCCTGTTGCCTGACACTTTAATTCCACTATATCTTGTTCATTTGCAACTTCGTCACTTGGCATATGGCTAAATTTTGGCTTTTCTGTAAATTTAAATCCAACAGTGTGTTAATCAACTGAGACTGTGAGGTGAAAGATAGGTTACCAGGCAACGAAACGCCCACAGTAGCTAAGTCGTCCGGGCAGTCAACAAAGCTTGTCACATATTTTTTCTTTTGTCAGTAATGAGAACACTAACAACAAATGAAAATCTTAATATGTCAACCGATTAAGTAATTACCAGAAATCATTAGAATTTGTTTCGATTGTTTGACTCATGAACTTAATTTATATTAACTTTAGCTTCTAGAGCATCAAGAACACATTTCAAAGGGTCATAACTCTTGCAGTAATTATCGGAAATCATTGAAAATGCATAAGATTCTTCATATGACCTTAAACACTGTGCAAAGTTTAAAGTCAACCAGATATTAACTTAAGCCTCAAGAGCTGCTACGAAATATTTCAAAGTGTCAGTGATCAAGGGTCATAACTCTTTCAGAAATCATCAAAAATGGTTAAAATGACTAAGATATCCTTCGTCTCATGACCTTAGACGCTGTGTATAAATTTAAAGTCAATCGGACAATCGGATATTAACTTTCCCCTCCAGAGTTATGCCCCTTTATTTTCGAGAAAAAATGTCAGACTAGAAAAGTTTGGAAATCCTATCACAAGCAATTGTGGACAACGGACTGACGGGGGACGACAATATACAACCACATTTTAATGTATTCGTTAATTGGGGTGTTTTCACAACAGGGAGTTATTGCTGTACAAAAAATGTATAATCATAGACAAGAAGACTTTATCTGACGCATGGTTGTTAAAATCTAAATTTGGGTAGGAAAATCATTTTTATCGTGCGATTTCTAATGAAATGTTCCCATAAATAGGTACATGTCAGTGAAGTCAAAAAAAGGTAACAGTGGTCAACTAAAGTAACAGGATCAAGGTAGGAAAAGTAGCAAATAATGTTTTGGTGAGGTCAAAACAAGTCAGTTAGGTAAAGTTGGGAAATGTTTTAAAAAATAGTTAAGTGAGGTCAAAAAATATAAATTTCTGTCTTTATTTTAGAGTGGTCACAAAGTTCAACAAAGTGAAACAAGGACCATAACTCAAGAAATTACCAACAGAAATTGCTGAAATTCAATAGGCTTCTTCGATTTACTAATCTAAATAATGCATATAAATTTAATCTAGATTGGATGATAATACTTCTAAAAATTGAAACAAGGACATTAACTAATTCACAGAAATTGTATAAATTCATCTCACTAATGTAAACATAAAACATATATAAATTTCAAAAAGATCAGATAATAAATGAAGTCTGTAGTGTTCATAAAAAAAAACGTTGACGAAGGCTGGGTGTCCGGAGGTGGTGGCAACACTTCACCACATTTCCATGTAGGCGTATAAAAACAGGTTCACATGAACCCAGATTAAACCTTGAATATTACCTAAGTTAGTCCTACATTTAATAATGAATTATTTTACATTAATTCATAATATGGGCCACTTTTTGATGTGCATCAGCAGAATATTAGATACATTCGTTACGCAATAGATACTGCCATCGGCACAATATTAGATACTTTCGGTAAATGACAGACACTGCCATCAGCACAATATTAGATACTTTCGTTTGTCTTATACATTGCTTCCAATTATCTACATGTAATCAGCTTGGAACAACAGTAAAATATGGTGATTCAACCTCTACTCCACATCAGTGTTGGAGTGTTGGCTGAGAAGTTCATCAGGATTTTCTGGTGTGGTTCCCCCTTGTCAGTTGTGCAGAACAGAGCCTGGCAGATAGGACAAAAAAAACAAGGTCCAATATTGGTATGCATGTAAAAGAACCCTTGACAGTTTGAATTCGAGATCTGAATTGTCCAGGCAAAATTTCCCTCATAACACACTACATGGTGTATGCCTGTCTTCTTTAGCCTAGTTGAAGTAGAAAGGTAGAAGTTTAACCCCCATTTCATTTCTGAAATCAACTCAATAAACTAAAGGCTTATAAACAGAGCAACTAATATGCATTAAACTGGACAGTAGCAAAAACCAGACTTTGTGATGATTCTAGATTTTCTTTCAGATGGTAATCTACAGTAGAACTGAACATGTGTATAAGACAAGATTTTAACCTTTTTTATCATTTGTAAATAGTAATCGATCCCTGGTCTGAATTATTAATCAAAATTAAATTTATTATAAATTAACTTACCTAAAACAGTCAGTTTGGCAGGCTGACTTTCCTTTTCCCCACCCTTATTTATTGCTAAGCAGGTATACTCTCCAACATCGGATACCTGAACTGACTGAATGATCAAATTACCATTGGTAACAGTTAACCGACCATCGTCTTGAATAGGATCATAATTTTTATGCCACAATATATCTGGTTCAGGTTCACCTTTTGGTGGTTTACAGTTAAAGGTTGCCGTTTTTCCAGTTGCCACAGTAACATCTGTAGGTTCTTCCCTAAATTCATCTCTTAAGACTGGAAAGAAAAGAAACTTGTACATGTAACAAGGGCTGCATTATAACACTTTTAATGGTTTAAAGTTTGTAAAAGAATTTCAACTCTAACCTGTTACAAAATTACAAGTACGATAGGAATATATTACATTTATTATTATATGGACCAGGAACAGACAGGGCTAGAAATTCACGCGAATCTCCGAATCTGATTCGCGCAAGGATTCTTGCAAGAGCTTACGCTGCGAATCTATAAGGATTCGTGTAAAAAATTTTCTTAAAAAAAAAAAAAATCTCGGAGAATTCTTGAGTCCAACTGTTGAATATCAGTCAGGGTTAATTGTGGGATTTAGCCGATTGATGTTTAATCTAGCCGATTGATAAAACAATGAATCGGCCACATGGTATCATAAATCAATCTACTTGTCTTTTTTTGTCTAATATTACAACGAGTTAATTATTACTTGTTAATAAAGAAGTGTCGGCTACAACAACAGTCATACCTTAGTACGATTCGGCCATATGTGGTTCATAATCCGAGTAATTAGCACATTTAACGGTGATTTTGATAATCCGGTAAAAAAACAAAACAAGCTTGCTGATAATTCATACTAGGTTCAGTAAAATACGCACTTGGTGAATGAAGACGATCTCGGCATGGTTTGCGAATCGCGTATCTTTCACGCTCCGTCCGTGTGAATTCCAGGTATTAAAATAATAACTGGATCATACATTGATCATACATAAAAATTGTGACTTCTAGAGAGTCCACAACCTTGGTATTTACATCCTTTTACATTATTTGCGTACAAGGGGCAGCTAGTATTGGTCAGATTTTCAAAAAATTGGAACTCAACCATCATTAGGGTGTAACGGTGATACATTCAAATGTATCTTTAAATCGGATAACAATAGTGACCTCTAGAGGGACCACAAGCTAAAAGCATGATTTTCCATACAATCAAGGGCAATAATTCAGGAAGTTACAATCCGATATGTGCGAATATCGAAAGGAACCAAGATCTTTGGCTTATAAACATGTATTTCAAGATTCATCAAAATCGGATCAAAATTGTTGCCTTTAGAGTGCCCACAACCTTTATATACCATATATTTACACTATTTGTGTACGAGGGGCGGCCATTTTGTCCGGCAGTTTTGGTCCAATATTCACGAATTTCAAATCGACCGCCATTATGGTGCAACGATGATATATACGACTGTTTTTTTTAAATCCGATAATAACTCTGACTTCTAGAGGGACCACAAGCTAAAAACGTGATTTATAGTACAATCCGGGGGAATAATTCAAGAAGTTGAGATCCGATATGCACAAATATCCAAAGGAACCAAGATCTTTGGGTTATAACCATGCATTTCACGTTTCATCAAAATCAGATGAAAATTGTGACCTCTAGTGTGTCCACAAGCTAAAAACGGGATTTATTATACAACCAGGGGCCATAATCCAAGAAATTTCGATCTGATACATGCCAATATCGAGAGGAACTGAGATCTTCTCGAGATAAACCTATATTTCATGTTTCGTCACAAACAAATAGTGAGCCGACAAACTAATTTACGCTAATTAAAGGTCCATATAATAGGAAGTCATGGTCTGATATACTGAGATCTTCTCGAGATAAACCTATATTTCATGTTTCGTCACAAACAAATAGTGAGCCGACAAACTAATTTACGCTAATTAAAGGTCCATATAATAGGAAGTCATGGTCTGATATACATGTACATGTACACCAAGATTTTTGGGTTGTAAACATACATTTTAAGTTGCATCAAAATCGGATACAAATTGTGACCTCTAGCGTTTCCACAAGCTAAACAAGTGGTTTTCATGCAAGATACGCCAACATTTTGCAAAAGATGGCCATAGAACATGTTTTTTAAAAAAAAAACGATTTTTCGTACAATCAGAGACCAAAATCCAGGAACTCTAAAGGGTCGACAACCTTGGTATTACCTGTACATACTTTTATACAATTTGCGTATGGGGAGCAGCCATTTTTGTCAGGTAGTTTCGGGCCAATTTTCGCAGGATTCAAATTCAACTGTCATTATGTGTCATTATGGTGAAACAGTGATATATTTAAATGGCTTTTAAAATCGGATAAAATTGTAACTTCTAGATGGTCTACAAGCTAGAGATATATGTAGGTTGCCAGGCAACAAAACATACACTCACAGAAGCAATAATGGTAGTTCCCTTATCAAAAACTGAATTAATCTTTACTTTTTATCCTAAATCAGAGTATTGATGCTAGTTTTACATCGTTTTACATTTAGTATTAAATCTAGGCCTTAACTTAATGGTTCATGAAGTTTTTTCGGGCTAATTGATATGCATGTAGTAATCAGCTATGATCAGTGACACCTTTTGTGAGTTAGAGAATCTATTTATCCCTTCACTATGGGTATTGTCCATTGTTAATACTGCACTTGACTTATACATGTAATCAATATGCATTATTATGTATGATAAAACAATGTAGACTAGACATCAGTTAGTTTCAACTTCTTCAATTTCTTTAGAATTAGCTGTTGATCATAATTAGGGGATGAATAGACCTAGGGAACGAATTGTCCTGGGACGAATTGTCTTTGGGGACAAATTATCAGGGGGACAAATAGTCCTAGGGGACTAATTATCCGGGGACGAATAGTCCTAGGGATGAATTGTTCGGGAACGAGTTGCCAGGGGACAAGTTGTCCGGGGACGAATTGTCCCGTACCCGTACATCGTACCCCAAGAAAAAAATCCACCGTGATCTACATGTACCTTGGGCAATTTTTTTTTTATGGATTATTTAGTTCTGGTATCGACCTCAAAATGAAAGATCATTGTAAAATTGCCTTATTTAAGTTATCCTCAACTTTACGCACTGTAAATGTATTATCAAATCGTAAGTAACCATAAGCACACTCAACCCCATGATATTTTACAAATAATATTATTAAAGCAATTATTAATGTCCACCATACCCGTCTGATCTAGTAGGAAGAACTGCCATGGAATTGTATGCTGATGCGGATGGGTGATGGCTCATGTTTTTGTTGACTTTGTCGTGTTGAGAAGCAAGTTTTTGGTTAAATGTTAAGTTTGGACCTCTTTTCTGCGAACAGTGGCATTCCACCGTGATTCGCTGAGTCTAAGCAGACCGTTAATCTCTAGTGTGCCAAATTGTGGTGGATCGCAGTGGAATTCTGTGAATATTACCTTCACACTATAATGTCAAATTGCCAAGTGATTAAAGAGCAGATACGGATCGCATGCATAATCCAGAGTACATGTATATTCTAATGGGCTATAAGTAGCCATCGTAATGTGAAATTTTTTAAAAGATCTATCAACTAGTAAAGCCGTAAAAAATCTATTGTTAATGATTCTGAATAACTATAATATTAAGATTTTTGGTTGTTACAGCAGCTTTAGAAAATAATGTTTGTTTTGTTTTTTAATTTGCTTTCTTATTAACTATATCATTAGGAGTGGAATCTTTTGGTTTAGTAAAATCAAAATTTCTACGAAGTTCCTTCGTTAAGCAAGAATAGAATGCTACATGTAGTTGTATTTTCCTTTTGCAAGGTTCTCACAAAATAATTTTTAAGTAGCCTAACGAATAAGTTATGAAATTAGATTTATTGACCTTTCTGTAAAGTTTCATAGAAAATAGTTTTGATTATTCCGGCTTGTTTGGACAGAGTACCGTCTATAGACTGGCTAAGTCGGTCTAATTTCAAACCAAGGGCACATAACCTATTTTGCACTCAAAAAATGCCTGGATGTAAAGACTGCTTGTGGGTTATTTTTTTATTGATGTTTAAATGGTTAGATCTTGTTACATACATGTACCACACCGTGGCAAACTGCATGCAGCGATCCATCTACGTCATACTTCGAGATTATGATCACTGCCCTATTTAGCCTCCATTTAAAAAGCTCATGTGATCATTTTGGGGCGGGACTTATCGACTGGACCACTGCTTTGTGTTCACAACAGAGTAAAAATAACCCGATCAAGCACATGTATTATGTAAACACATGTCGTTGGCAAAATGTCAACTTCTGCCACTACAAGTACGTTAAAAGCGGTATATACATGTAATATGTGCTAGTGGGTAATATTGCAATACATTCTTTGCCATTGTAAACTGTCTTTAGAGTTTCAATCTGTTTATCTTTCAAAACAAGGTTAGGTACTCCTAAATTTGTCTTCGCAAACAAAACCGCCTCTGTGAAATTATATGTTTCATGGGCGCCGCCATATTGAATAATTAGAGGACTATTTTGTGATTCGGCTTTGATTAGTTTGACATCTTTCATACACACAGCGGCTAAATAAACATATTTAATTTCATTCAATATGACAATAGAAGAGAAATAAATACTTCTAAAAATTACTAAAAGCATACTCAGTGTTTTCGATTAAAATCATCGATGTAGGAATTAAAATGTCGGGTAATTAGCTTAGGGCCTGTTCTCAGGCGGAGCTACATGTAGCTGTAGACAGGCAGCCTAAGTTTGGGATGACACCGTGGTTTATTTAATGACTATAAATGTGACAAAGTAAGTTAAAGATATTTATTTACAGTGGAGCACCCTAACATTACACTCTTTATTTATATAAACAATTCGCATCAAACATTTTGAGGCATCATACATGTACATGTAATTCACATTGAAATGGTGGAGAAAACGTCACATGATCAGAAACCTGCCAAATCTATAACTGCCAATGAGTTTATGGGATTAAGATGTATATTCTTACATGTACCATAGAGGTCTTTGCCAATATACATGTATTTTTTGATATTTTTCATGGATCGGTTCCTGCTTATCCTCGGATGTACATGTATCACTGAGATCCAGACTTGCCTGCACAGTATTAGGGAATCTTCCGCCCTCCTTTTATTCGAGTGTGGGGGTTTTATCGTCCTTTACTTGGATTTTCTATTTTTAAAAGGTGTAACCTATACTGTAATTGATTTTGACTCTAAAATGAAATAAACTACTTATTAGTAGAATACATAACACAATGTGGTGCAGTACTCCTTGGATATAATACAAGTAAACAGATAAAGATTTCCTTAATTTCAGCAAAACAGTTACGGTACTTTATGTGTATGTGTACATGTACATTAGATCTATTACTGATTATAAAATATTCAAACTTTCGTTCAGGGGAAATGTGCTAAGATGCTCTCTGTCCGTAGGAATGTAGAACTTATAAATTATGTAAAATCACCTTAATACCCATCGGTAAATACAAATATTTGAAATACTTTGAGAAATAACTACACTACTAAAATGTTGATGAAACATTAACTATTTCCTAGCGTGGATACCGTCCAGCACAAAAATGGTCGGCTATCGATAAATGTCAACATTTTCTAATAATTTGAGAAACAACAATCTATAACCTGCCACTGTATAAAAGCCGCGAGAAAAGCCAATGAAAGGCTCACAAATTCCAATCATTCCTGGTGTGAAATTACACCGAATCACACCGAATTCAGTGTTTTCCATTTAAAAAGATAGATTGCCAGGCAACAAAACATACGCCCACAGCAGCTAAGTCGTCCGAGAAGTCAACAAGAGTCGTCGCATATTATTTTTATTGTCGCACATTTTTTTTATTGTCGGTAATGAAACATTTATAATACACTCAAATCTGATTAAAAGTAACAACTCATTAAGTAATTATCAGAAAATCATTAGAATTTGTTTGGCTTTTAGTTCTGCAACATGCTAACGTTTAGTACATGTATATGAAACATTTAATATCATGAATTTAGCTGTTCAAGTTATCAAAATTCTTTGAAAATCAATATACTTGTTCGTCTCAAGACCTTAAACTCTGTTTATCAATCTAAAGTCAATCAGATGATAACTTTGGTCTCTAGGGCCATAACTCTGGTAGTAATTATCAGAAATCATTGAAAATCACATGACCTTAAATCTGGGTGTGCACAACTCAGAACACTTAAAATTCCAGGAGTTTTCCAGGAGTTACATGTATAGCTAGAATTCTACATCATAATGTATCTTTTTTTTTTTTACGCTTGAAGAACATTGTTTCCCTGACTCAAAGAAATAAAGGATCTCATCAAAATTAGATTGACGTAATACCGAAGACTAGTCCATTTACGGCGACGAATTCATGAACTTTTGAAGAAACAATCGATGACTACATTCAATTTTATATCTTAAAATACATAGCAGATGTGTCAACCCCCAGACCAGCAATGAAAAAACAGGAGACTGGGAGATTCTTTTTCATTTCATCAAATAACTTCATTTTCATTCATCATTCTTATGAACTCAATTTTTGCTGTGTACATCAGATAGAAATTATTTTTCGGTTTCGGATCAATATTTTTAATGACAGAAATAATTTTTTTTAAAGATTTTGTGAAAATATACATAAAATGCTACCCAAAAACTCCAAATAAGTGGTTTTCAGTCATATCGGAGTGACATCATAAGCAGGGTTCTTAATCCATTTTGAAATGAACCGGCCACGGGTAGGCCTAACGAATAGACGTCTTTTCAACAACAAACATGTTGGTTTATGCATACTCTATTCACGACAGTAATTGCATAATTCACTCTTTGATGAGTTTCTTAAACGTCGAGTAATAATTAACTCTTTGTAATTGGCCCAAAGTAGATTGATTGTTTTACCAATCGGCCTGATAATTAATTCTTTGTAAATCGGCCAAAAGTAGATTGATTTGTGATAATTTAGTGGCTGTTTTACTAATCCGCTAGATTAAAGATCAATCGGCTAAAGCCGACAAAAAACAGCCAATTAAGATCCCTGGTCATTAGGGGTATAGAATCGCTCGTAACAATTATAAAACTGAAATCCTCTAATATTAGCCAGCTAAACGATAAACGATAATTGCGCTTATATTCCGATAACTTTTGAGTCAGATTATCTGCATGTACATGTATTGAGATCGATATCAAATTATTATAATACTATTGCTAGTAATATAATGAGATGAAAAAGTAATCCAAAATCGCAGATTATAAGTCGGCTGAATGTCAGTCAACGGCTTCCGATTTCACGCTAAAGACACATGGCGTGAAATGTTTTCTCTTCGTGGGAGAATTGTCAAAATCGCATAGATGTTTAGGACTACTAGCTACATGTATGGGGGAAAAATGATTGTAATGGAAAGAACCTTGTACAGGTCTCTATTTTATCAGGTACATGTACGCTCATGCACCATGCTACCATTACAATGTAATTTATTTATTCCAAACAATAATAATCACAAATTACCGGAATTAAAAGTTTCCGGTCAATTTCAACCAATCATGAAGTCGATTTATGAAACGGAAGTAAAAGTAGCATTGGCATATGACCATTGTTCATGAGAAATTTCCTCCCGCGCCGTAGAAGGGCCGCGAATTCGTGAGTCTCATGGAAAAAACAGGTTAGCTAACACACGAAATCACAAATGTTAATTTTCCAGGAGTTTCAAGGAGTAATCTTGTTTTTCCAGGATTTTCCAGTACTGGAAATCACATTTTCATTTTTCCAGGATTTTCAAGGAGTTTCAAGGAGTTTCAAGGAGTGTGCGAACCTTATAAATACTGTGTATAAATCTTAAGTCAATCGGATGTTAACTTTAGCCTTTAGAGCGTCCACAAATATTTTTCGAAGAGATCAAGGGTCAGAACTCTGGCAGTAATTATCGCAAATCGTTGAAAATCAATAGGCTTCTTCGTCTCATGACCTTAATTAAACACTGTGTATAAATTTAAAGTCAATCGGATATTACATGTAACTTTAGCCTCTAGAGCGTCCACAAGCAATTGTGGATGCTGGACAGACGGACGGGGGCGACGACAATATACGACCACATTTCAATGTGGGCGTATAAAAATAGTGTTAGATTCCTAGCGAATTAATCCTAATTTCACGGGGGCGACCACAATATACAACTACATTTCAATGTGGGCATATAAAAATGGACGGACGGACGGGGGCGACGACAATATACGACCACATTTCAATGTGGGCGTATAAAAATAGTGTTAGATTCCTAGCGAATTAATCCTAATTTCACGGGGGCGACCACAATATACAACCACATTTCAATGTGGGCATATAAAAATAGTGGTAGATTCCTAGCGAATTAATCCTAATTTCGCAGTGGGGTTTTTTTTCGTGGTGGTTTAGTGTTTTCGGATCCAAAAATTTTAAACACAGTAACTGGCAGTCTGGGGCTTAAAAAGACATCAGATGGCCTTGTAAAATGATTTCTTGGCTTTGATTACAATTTTGATGAGTTCCTGATGATTAGCCAAATATTCACACATTCTTTTGGTAAAATCACAAAATGCTAACATGTAGGTTGTTTATGTATACATCGTTTGGCTGATTGGGGCAATTATTTAAGACTAGCTTAACAATCCTAGGGATGAAGACATGAATCTGTATATACATGTATGTACAAGTATTACTCACCAGCTATTTCTAAAGTTGCATTTCGACTTATTGCTGAACCATGAATATTTGTGGCATTACAATAATAGACTCCAACATCAGGTTTAGAATTTTTATTGTGGATGATGCGTAAAAAGAATAACTGTCCACTTGGAAGAAGCATACGATGTGAGGAAGGGTTTTCTGGAGAAGTTATTACAGGTTTTCCATTTAGATACCAAGTAATTTTGGGTGTTGGGTCTCCTTCAGCTTTGCAGTTTAAAGTTGCAGGTTCATTTTTTGCAACATAGTCGTCTTGTGGATGCTCAATTATTTCAGGATTTGATGCCCAAACTGCAAATAGATTTCAAATACACATTTAATGATATGTTTGTTGTTACATGTAGCTTGAATAAGATTTTACAAAGTGATGAAGGCAACAGCTCTGGAAGGTAATATCAGAATTAGCAGAAATTCAACAGTTTTAATCATTTTACTTACATACATTTACATATAAAATAATAAAGTACATGTACACTGTATATCTAAATTTGTAAAATCAATATACGCAGTCTGTAGATTGTTCATTAGAAATAGTAGGCAACAGATATTTCAATGTGGGTGAAGCATTGGAGTCACGAGAGGATGAACCCTATCGATAATTGCATTCTGCAAGTGTGCTTTACAGACTTATCCCCCCCCCCCCTTTTGCCAAAACACCTTGTGAACCTGAGGTAGATTTACACTTTTGCCAGATTTGTTTCAAACGTTTGTGAAGCACTGGGGTTATGAGAGGATGAACCTTTTCAATTTTCAGTATTCTGTGACCTTTCGTTATACCCGCTTAAATTATGGATGGTTGCGACGGATGATGACAATATAAGACCACATTTTCAAGAGGCGTATAAAAAGTAATATAACCACTGAGAAGCAAAATTATTTTTTAAATTAATTATTGCATTATTTTGCATGATGTAAAGATAGGTCGCCAAGCAACCGAACCTACATGTACATGTAAGCCCATAGCAGCTATGTCATCCAGGAAGTTCACAGGAGTTGTCGCATACATGTATATGTATAGGTAATGTTAGCATTTTTAAAAGACATTAAATAAAACTGATCAGGAGTAACAACTCATTAAGTAATTATCAGAAATAATTAAAATTTGATTGGCTTCTCGTTCGTCAAGATGCTAACATTTATTATATAAAACATGTACTGGTAACGATGATAAATTTAGCTGTTTGAGTATTAATTTCAAATCAATCGGACAATAACTTTAACTGCTAGAGGGTCCACAATATCAACTTCTGGTATTGGCCGTTAACCTTTCACTTAGCAGATATAGTTACATTTTAAGCAATTCAAGCTATTTGTACAAGGGCATTTTCACCCAATAATATATAATTATTATAATGGCCTGTAAGTTTCTGTGAGCAGCAAGGCAACAGGGAGGCAGATATCCTCCCCCCCCCCCCCCCCGAAATCAGAAAATAAATAGATGACACATATTAATTACATGTAATAGCACATTTATTGTTTTAAAAGTATCAAGCATTGAAGCTGATTAGCAACTATACACTAAGTTTCATCACTCTCTATCAGATAGAATCAAAGTTACATGTACATGTATCTTGTCCCAAAGCATCGACCAAGCTCTGCTTAGCTTTAGCTCGAAATATTAATCATTGAACTCAGTCAAGATATTCACCTAATGAACATCTACATCAAGTTTAAACATTCTACCTCAATTAAAAGCAGAGTTGTTATTTTCCAAAGTCTTGACCAATCAAATTTCTTATTGCTCCTTAGTCTAAGCAGAAGTCTTCATCATCAAACTTAATCAAGGTAATGATACATGTATAATGAATCTATACTCAGAGTTCCATCACTCTCACTTAAACATGCATTATGCAAGAGCTAAATCTGCCTATTGCAGGTCTTTCTTTAGGCCTGAAATGTTTTCTAAAGTATTAATTAGACAGTAATTATATGATCCAGGCCTTAATCAACTCTCGATGGCATCAGATTTCTCGATATTAAATAGATTAGAATGGTTCAGCGATACTTTGATTTAATTAAATATGGAGGACCAAGACTTAGCTTCGATCAACCTGTACAGTTGTTGAAATTATTGCACACGTCTATCAAACCTTCAAAGGCTAATATCTTCGCTTGCATTGCAATAGAGTAATTTGAATGAAATTTTCAAATTATTCATTTTACATCATCTACTTTCGAACTATTATAGCAAGAATGGCTAGTTCTTTATCTACATGTAAATCTTACATAATGTATCTTTAATTAAAACTAAAGTTATCGTGCCCCAAAGCATCAACCAATCAGATTGCTTACATGTATCTCTGCATACAATGTTTATCATCGAACTCCATCAAGGCATTCACCTAATGAACACCTACACCAAGTTTAAAGGAGCTAAATCGCTAATATTTTGGACCTAGAAATTGGCACAAATGAGTCGCAACACATTTAATAATGTAATATGAATTTATATAAACTGTTTTACATTCAATCGTGTCCGTTTTACTGTGAACTGTCTTCTGTTATGTTCGGCGAAATACTGTACGCCAGAAGTGTCAACAGCAAGTTAGTTTTTAGCGTCTGGTTATTCCAGTCAACACCGATATTATTTATTGCACATGCTCTCCAAATAAGAATATGATATCACCGTTTGACATGACTTGTGGAATATGTCTTGCCTCATTCTTTGAGCACCTTGTTACAAATGGCGCTGAAACGCATTATGGTACACGATTCGTGTACCAATGGTAAAATGTTTATTTTGTCTTAATTATTGGATATCAGAAGCCCATCTTTTCCATGTAAGATCACAACACCAATGCTGATTTAAATTGCAAAAAAAATCGTGTTTTCAATGTCGAAGATTTTGGATGATATTGACTTACGGACTTAGCTACTTTAAACATTCTATCTCAATTAGAAGGGGAGTTATTGTGTTCCAAAGTCTAGACCAATCAAACTGCTTATCACTCTGCTTACCCTGAGCAGAAAATGCTCATTATCGAACTTAGTCAAGTTATTGATGTGATGAAACTATACACCAAGTGTCCTCACTCGCACTTAATTAGAACTAAAGTTATCGTGTCCCAAAGCATCAACCAACCAAATTGCTTATCTCTGCTTACCCTAAGCAGAAAATTCTCATCTTCAAACTCCATCGAGGCATTCACCTAATAAACACCTACACCAAGTGTGAACATACAAGCTCAATTAGAAGGAGAGTTATTGTGTTCCAAAGTCTTGACCAATCAAATTGCTTATCTTTCTGCTTACCCCGATCAGAAAATGCTCATTATCGAACTTATATGTAGCCAAGTTATTGATGTAATAAAACTATATACCAAATTTCATCACTCTCACTTAATTAGAAATTAAGTTATTGTGTCCCAAAGCATCAAATTTGCTTATCTCTGCTTACCCTAAGCAGAAAATGGTCATCCTCGAACTCCATCAAGGCATTTACCTAATAAACACCTATACCAAGTTTGAACGTTTTAGCTCAATTCGAAGGAGAGTTATTGTGTTCCAAAGTCTCGGCCAATCAAATTGCTTATCGCTCTACTTACCCTGAGCAGAAAATTCTCATTATCAAACTTAGTCAAGGCATTGATGTAATGAAACTATACACCAAGTTTCAAGTTTCATCACTCTCACTTAATTAGAACTAAAGTTATCGTGTCCCAAAACGGCAACCAATCGAATTGCTTAAGCAGAAAATGCTCACCTTCGAGGCATCAACCTACTAAACACCTACACCAAGTTTGAACATTCTAGCTCAATTAGGAGAGTTTTTGTGTCCCAAAAAGTGTGACGGACGGACAGTCAGACAGACAGACCGACCAACCCATTTTAATAGTCCCCTGCTTTCTTCGAAAGGCAGGGGGACAAAAAAGACCAGTCACTGCACATGACAGAAAACGATGTCAAAAGGGACACATAAAAGCTCCTATAAGAACAAGTTGAACTGTAAAATTAGACAGTGGGTTACATGTATCTCAATGAAAAGTTTAGCAGAGCACAACATGTAATTTGAATGGCTATGAAGGAAGTCTGGACATTGCTTGAAGCTTACAACATCACTGAACCATGAGTTGCATGTACAGTTAATGGAAAAAACAGAGTAGGTCATCACTGATATGAAGCTTTATTGAATCTCCAGATGACTTATGACTGACTGAGATTATTAATTTTGCACCAAGTTATTTTTTAAACTTATACTTGTGAAAACATGAAGAAAAAAAAGTATTCTACATGTATATTCTGTGTAATAATGTCCTTTTCTAAAATCAGGGGTACTTATATCAAGCAGTTGTTATACCAGAATAAGGAAAAATGATAGCGGCAGGGTTTATCCTCTCATTGTCCCAATGCTTTACATCGATTCTGAAAAACTTGTTGCCTGGCAACCCAACATACGCCCACAGCAGCTAAATCATCCGAGCGGCCAACAAGGGTTGTCGCATATTAATCTTTTATAGGCTACAAGTAGTTAACGTGGGGCATTTACAAAACAATTTCATAGAAATCAGATTATAATTTGTTTACGAAGGTGCTACAAACTGAAACAAGGGCCTTAACTCTGAAAGTAATATACTAAGTTAAATAATGCATATAAATTTCATACAGATCGGATGATGACTTGTCGTTTGAGCCTTCACTTTGAAGTGAAACAAGGCCCATAACTCGAGAAGTAATTATTGGAAATTGCTGCAATACAATACATGTACATGAACATGTAGGCTTCTTCATTTTACTAATTTAAATGATGCATATAAATTTCATGCAGATTGGAGCGTTCATACGGTTCAACAAAGTTTAACAAGGGCAATAACTCTAGAAGTAATTATTGGAAAGTACTGAAATTCAATAGGCTTCTTAGTTGCACTAATTTACAAGATGCGTATATTTTTCATTATTAATCGGATGTTAACGTTAGTGTCTAGAACGTCAACAAGATTTTTCAAAGTCATCAAGGGCCATAACTCTGGCAGTAATTATCAGAAATCGTTGAAAATTAATAGGCTTCTTCTTCTCATGACCTTAAACACTGTGTATACATTTAAAGTCAATCGGATATTAACTTTAGCCTCTAGAGCGTCCTCAAGATTTTTAAAAGTGATCAAGGGGCATACATGTACATGTACATGTAACTGGCAGTAACTAACGGAAATCGTAATACCTCCTCTCATGACCTTAAACATCGTGCATCAATTTAAAGTAATTGAATATTAAACATACATTATGTAAGAGCTAAATCTGATCATTGCAGGTCTTTCTTTAGGCCTGAAATGTTATATAAACTATTAATTAGA